AGTTAATTGGAGATAAGACTCTCATGGGGACTTTTCTGCTCAAGGTTGGCTTCGAACCTCCACTCTCAGATTTCAGCCTCCTGGAGTAGCTAGGATTACAGACATGAGCCATTGGCGCATCGGTGCCTTTTGATCTGTTATTCTCTGCTGCAGACCTTTTGCAATCACTTGTTTGCAGGAGCAAAGAGATGGTACAGACAACCATCTGTGTGGAAGGCAAACTGCCCCTCAAACAAGCAATGCTTTCTTCTTATCATCGTAAAGCAAGTAGGCAGAAACAGGAGACTACCTTGTTCCTGTTCTTCTCCAGAACTCCTCCAAGGAGTTCTGTGACTCTGACCTGACACTGCTTTAATTATGCATACCTTCCTCATCCCCTTCCCCATCTCTCCCAGCCAATATCTGTATCTCTGATGACAGCTGAAGATATACTGAAATGTTGTCTTCCCATAGCTGTCATGTAATACATCTCCTTTCTCTGCCTTTACCATACCTCTTTATTTGGCATTTGGGAGCAGGTAGCTGGATCTAACTTGAGACTTCTGGGCTTCAGGCCTGGAGTCTAAAATCCTGGCTCTAGGGTGGCGCATGCAAAATTCACTAAGCAATCAGTACAAAGCACAAGGAAAGAGATATGGGAGAAGTCCCATACTATAATAATTACTGAAAAGATTCTTTTGGACTGGATTTTTGAGGCACCTCTCTACAGAGACTCTATTTCACAAAAAAAAGTTATCTTCAAGTATTTATATGACAGAGTTACCACTTAACAAAGCAACTTATAAAAAAAAACAAAAAAACAAAGCAACTTATGAATTCCATGCATCTTGATTAATGTCTCCCCTTTCAACATTCTAACTCTTCTAACCCACCCTTTCCTTTTTCTTAATTTTTCAGCCTATACATTGTATTCTTGACTGCATTCTGCCCCCTCCTTTTTGTCTACCCTCTCCCCTACTTTCACTTTTAAATACACTTGCTCTATGTGGTTTAAATATTTCCCTGCCTCTTAAATTCTTTAATCAGCAGAGAAAATGAATTTGTACCAGTAGGTGGCATCAAAAGCAATCAGAAATATTGATGACCATCAATCACCTATGACTTCCACAGCGCTTAGCAGATGTAACTTCGAGGCTTGGATTAGAAGAGGAGGCATTAGGCAGAATGGGGCCGGGTGAGAGTTGAGAGCAAGAGGCAGTTTGAACAGTGCATGCAGAAGTGTAGAGATATAAACAAGAACACAATGTTCTAGGAGAATTTCAATTTGTAAATTGATGTAACACTGTGTTGTCCCAAGGGTCCTAGAAACATTGACTGGATGGGGTTCACTGATCAGAGAAGATTGAAACTGCTGACTTGGGCAGAGCCAGCCAGGGTGGGAGCCTAGCTGCTGGCCTCTCCAGGACTGGCTGTTCCCTAGGGAACTGAGGAAGGCTGAACCCCACACTGGGTGCCTGTGGGTTGGGGGGTGATGCATATGCCAGAGAGGAAGTTGGAAAGGAAGCGGAAGTCATTATAAGGGAGCTAGAGGCAAATTTGTTGCAACTAGTTGGTCAGGAGCCATGTGTTAATTTGCGTATTAGAAAAAGCACTGGTTGCCAGGTACTGGTGGCTCATGTCTGTAATTCTAGCTACTGAGGAGGCTGAGTTTTGAGGATTGCAGTTCAAAGCCAGCCTGGGCAGGAAAGTTGGTGAGACTCCAAAACCATGCAGAAAACTGGATGTGGTGCTGTGGCTGAAAGTGGTAGAACACTAGTTTTGAGCACAAAAGCTCAGGGACAGCACACAAGCCCCAGGCTGCAAGTTCAAGCCCCACAACCACTACCACTACCACCAACATCAAAGAGAGAGAAACAGTGAGAGAGAAAGAGAGAGAGGGAGAGAGAGAGAGAGGCAGAGAGAGAGAGGCAGAGAGAGAGAGAGAGGGAGGGAGAGAGAGAGAGAGAGAGGGAGAGAGAGAGAGAGCATAAAAAAGCACAAGCACCGGTTAAATTTCAATTCCTGGCCAGGCACTGGTGGACACTGAGATCTGATGGAGTTTCAAAGCCAGCCTGGGGAAGGGACTCTAACCTGCAGTTAACTACCAAAAAGAAAAAAGAAAAGGCTGGAAATGGAGCTGTGGCTCAAAGTGGTACAACATTAGCTTTGAGCACAAAAGCTTAGGGACAGCATTGAGGCCCTGAGTTCAAGCCCCAGCACATATGCATACACAAATACACACACACACAATAAATAAAAATTAAAAATTTTGATTCTTAAGGGCTGGGAAGGTGGCTCAGTGGTAGAGCGCTTGCCTTTCATGCATGAGGTCCTGGCTTTGATTCCTCAGCATCACATAAGCAGAAAAAGCAGGAAGTGGTGCTGTGGCTCAAGTGGTAGAGCACTAGCCTTGAGCTGAAGAGCTGATGGACAGTGCTCAGGCCCAGCGTTCAAGCTCCCTTCACTGTCAATTTTCTGTCAACTTTCATCAGGGTTCATTTGAGCCACCTGTCTTGAAGCTGAGGTGGAAGGAATGTGTAATTTCTATACAAAGGCCAGGTGTTCCCATAAACCCCTCTTAAGCTGGCTTTCAAGGCAGCTCCAAGTCTATAGGTATCAGTGTCCATGCCCCGCCCATCGCATCTGTGTACCAATCCTATAAGGCATTTTCTTTTAATTTCCCCAAGCTATTTCTTTCAGTCTGGGAAATGCTCTAACCTAGCTTCCCACCTTCAGCAAATACAACCGAGTCTCCCTCATACTTTTGGGGAATTGATCTGCTGAACTGAATGTACCTATTACAGTGACTTTTTAACTTACTAAGGTGACTGTATACTAACTGCTAGTATACTCGTTATGGTATTTAGATGTCTATGGGATGACAGCTTGTACCCTTTCATCCTCCATGGAACCTGTCCCTTGATTGACGGTAGCCATTGTGGCAGCATTTCTTTCTTGGCCTATGTAAGGGACTGACTAAAGCCAGGTGAGCCCTCATCTTGTAGGAAGGATTTGCTTCTCCCAGTGGTCATCCTTGCTTTCTGAGCTGCACATCCTTATATAATCCCATTTTCTTGAGTGGGAACAGGATCTATTGGTTTATCTTTGAAAGTATGTAGTCAACTCTCCATTGCTGTGAAAAATACTAGAGATTACCAACTTAAAAGGACGAAAGGCTTATTTTAGAGGTTTCAGTTCATGGTTGTTGGGCCCGTGGTGGCAGAAACGTGGTGGGGGGAGGCCTATGCCATCTGGGGTACAAAGAGAAGGCTCAAAGTTCCAGTATCCCCCCCAGTGACACATCTCCCATGACCTACAATAGAATCATCAGCTGGGGACCAAGTTTTGAACACATGAGCCTTTGGAGGACATTTAAGGTTCAAACCATAACAGATAGGGCAAGGTGATGGGATATCTTTGCCATGGTTATATTACAAAAGGCTGCAGTGTCTCACTTTCCAGGAGACTCTTTTACTGGCTTGATGAAGCAAGTGACAATATTGGGAGGGCTCTTTCCTAAGGAACAGAAGTGACCTTTAGCTGCCAGCAAGAAATGGAGGCTCTCCATCCAGCATGGTACAGGAAATGAATTCTGTCAACAATCACATGAACTTGGAAGTAGATCCTCATCTAACTGAACCTTGAGATGGGGTTGTAGTCCTGCCTGTTGGCGCAAGTCTAACTGTGCCCTCCCCATCCCCCTTCCCCATCCCCCCCCCCCACCTGTGCTAGTTTGAGTTCAGAACCTTTGCATTTGCTTGGTAAGCATTCACAACTCGAGCCACATTCAGACACCTCAGTTTTCAGATGAGAACTGAGCCATTGCCCCGTAAAGCCGAGCTGATCCTGGCCCATAGAAGCTGAGGTGATCAGCATGTTGTTTTAGTCTGCTAAGTTTGTGTCATACACATACACAGAAGTAAAACTCCCTTCTTGGTTTTAAAAATCTTTTAGATCCTGCAGATTGTCTATTTTGTCCCATTTAACTTTTGATTAAAAAAATTTAAAATAATCCCTTTTCTAGTACTGAGGCTTGAACTCAGGATCTCAAGCTCTTGCTTGACTTTTGTGCTCAAAGCCACATCTCCAGGCTTGCTTCAAACCTCAAATCCTAGTCCTTCATTCTTCTGAGTAGCTAGGATTGCAGGAGTGAGCCACCAGTGCTGGGCTCTTTTTTTTTTTTTTTTTGCTTGTCATGGGGCTTGAACTCTGGGCCTGGGAGCTGTCCCTGAGCTCTTCAGCTTAAGGCAAGTGCTCTATCTCTTGAGCCACAGTGCCACTTCTCGTTTTCTGGTGGTTAATTGGAGATAAGAGTCTCATGGACTTTCTTGCCTGGGGTAGCTTTGAACCATGATCCTCAGATCTCAGCCTCCTGAGTAGCTAGGACCACAGGCGTGAGCCACCAGCATGGGCTTTTTAAATAATCTTTACAGGAGCCCCTTGTGGTCTCACCTGTCATTTATGTTTATTTGTGCCTTATCATGGAAAAGTTTTAGCATATGATATTAATTAGTAAACCTTTCATTAAAAAAAAATCTTTTCCTATACCCTACTCATACATTCTTATATTTTTATCAAGACTTCAACAGCTTTGTGTGTAATATTGGACCTTAAATCGGAGATAAGTTTAAGTGGAGTGAGGTATAAGGTTTTACAGCTTTTAATGAATAAGCTATTATCTTACCTCTATGGGCTAGCCTACCCATTTGATATACTGCTTTTATCATACTAAATATCTACACACACATGGGTCTGCTGCTGAACTCCTGTTCTGTTAAGTTCATCAGTACCGCCGAACTTACTTGATTTCAGCAGGGTCATGGAGACTCCTGGTCCACTTAAAACACAGCTATCTCCAGCAATTTACAGTCTTTCTTTCCAGTACCCACCCTTAAGGCTTAGACGCAAATTTCTAGTCTTTGATCTCAGTTAGGGAGTAAGGGAATGCCAATATTGAATTCCCATCTCAATTGCTCTCTCCTTTGACGTTTATTCCCAAGAGAAATCCAGGTGGACACCAGTAACATTAATGGTATTTATTGAAAAGAGCAGAGAAAAACAGAGTTTAGAACCTTTGGGTAGGTACAAGCCTGTCACCTGCTCAGCATATACACTTGTGGCCCCATTTGGCCATCTTGTTATTGATGGGCATCTTGAAGAAGCGGTCAGACTGCATGTATGAAGCTATTTTCTCCAAAGCCTGAAAGGAAAGCACACCAAACTTTTATTAGGCCCCTAGTCCAGCCTGATAGCCCCACAGTGTAAGAGCAACATTCACATGCTACTGCCTCCACTTTACTCCCACTTCCTGTAGGAAGTAGGTTGGAGTGTAGCTGACCCTTTCCAGGACTTACCCAGAGGTGTCCAATTACTGATCTCATTAAGCAAAAGCTGGGGCATCTATACCATCATAGAGCTCCTCTAAGCCTAGGGGAGACCCTTTCTAAAAGAAAGGAGCAGGGAGCATTACCTCAAAGCGGCACATGAATGCCTTCAGATTTGGGAACTCATCCAGGCACTTGGGCTCAAACATCCGGTTCTGGTCTAAGACATCATAAGTGAGGAAGTCCACAAAGGTGAGCTAGGAGGAAGAGGTAGTGAGATTGTCAGGTCTGGAAAGGTCATGACAAATAACTGCAGAGAGACAAGAGATATTATCCTTGTTCCTTCCTCTTACCTTTTCACCTGCAAACCAGGAACATTTCCCCAAGAACAAGGAGAATTGTTTCAGTTGATCAGGAAGCTGCTCCAAGTACTCAGGCTTCAATTTCTCCTGAAAAAAAAAAAAAAAAAAGAGTGAGAGTCAATAATCAGGGTGCTGGCCAGTGAAGGATACTTCTCTTTGCCTTCACTTGGGAGTAGCAAGAGGAGAAGGCTTTGAAAAGGAGAAAGAGCTAACACTAGACTATGACCAAACATTCAAACACACAAACTAGCTTTCTTTTCTATTCTGATAGTTTGTGGGAGGGTGGCAGTAGCAGAAGGGAGCAGAAATAACCTTCAGGTTTCTAAATATTCAGCTCCTCCTCCCCCCTACTCCCCTTCCATTCTCCCCCTCTCTCTTGTGTGTATGCCATACTAGGGCTTGAACTCAGGGCCTTGTGCTCTGGCTTGGTCTTTTTGCTCAAGGATGGCACTCTATTACTTGAGCTACTCTTCTACTTCTTTTTGCTGATTAGAGATAAGACTCTCTTGGATTTGTCTGATAGAGCTGGCTTCAAATCTTAATCCCCAGATCTCCTGAGTATGGAGGATAACAGGTCTGAGCCACTAGCACCCGGCATTTGACCACTTAGCTAATGCCAGCTAAGGAAACTTACATGGTCTGAGTTGTAGCAAATCCGCACCAGCTGCATGCGGAAGTCCATTATCTGGTTCTCCATGATGTCCACTCGAATCTTTTCTTCTTCAGTATCACCACCTGAATTCCAAATCATGACAAGTTACCCTGGGATCATCGTTGCTGCTTACTCCAGTTGGGCAGTCACATTGGACTCCCTGGTCAGCTCTACTCCACTCACACATGTTGTGCTTGCGAGCGATGTAGCGCAAGATGGCATTGCTCTGGGTGATCTTGTTCTGCCCATCCAGGAGGTAAGGCAGCTGGAAAGAAAAGAATAGGTCAGACTAATAGTCTCTTTTGACTCCTTCTGTCTCCTGGGAAAGAGGAGACTAAGCAAGAGAGAAGATGCAGAAAATTTTTTTAAAAAGTGGAAAATCCTTTGTCTTCACCTAATAAACATGTGATATTTCCCCCTCCATTTTGACCTAGTCTGTCCCTGCCAAGATCCTCCCCAAACCGGGGAGGGAAGACTCAAAACTAGGTATACTTGAAGGCCTTCCCATCTGCCCACTCCTCTCATCGCCTAAAGCCACTTACATTAGGGAAATCCAGGTCGAGTTTGAATTTCACATCCAGCCATTGGCTTCGATCATAGTCAGGAGCTGTAAGAAAGAAGTGGGGAAGCCATCTCTTCACTAATCCACCTGTTGGAAAACGTTTAGGCCCAGCCCCTCAAATCCCCAGCTCCCCAAGCTTAATCATTTAGGCCTTACGGTCTATTTGTCTTAAATATAAAGACGGAGTTGGGCCATGAACAAAGTCATGGATCTATCCACCTGTCCTCACACAGGACACTGAAGAGCTCCCACGTAACTGGGGGCTGATGTCCCACCCAACCGTGCCGTGATGCCCACCGCCTCCAGGTCCAAGACAGGCCCAGCTAGAGAGCCACGGCGTGGCCCGGGGACGGGCCCGGACGCCCACAACGACATTACCTTCGCCGCAAGTGTACCGTTTCTCCTCGTAGCAAGTATCCGTGAACTCCAGGAGCAGGCGGATGGCGTGCGCCAGCTGGGGGGAGGCAGCGGGGCTCAACGCCTGCGCGCCCCCCCCACCCCCTCCCGCCAACGTCCCCCGGCGGGGCGGCCCGGGCCCCGGCATCCCGCCAGGGCGGTCGTTAAGCTCACGGGCGGGCCGGTCGGCCCGATCGGCCGGGGGCGGCGTTGAAGTCGCCGGGCCGGGCTGGGCGAGGCTCTGCGGGCCTCCGAGGCGGCTCAGCTTTAGGTCACCCCCATACGGCTGTTTCTCCAGGAGATCCCCAACCCCCGGCCCCGGCCCCCTCGGCGGCGGTCTGTCCGACCAGGCGGCTCCGCCGTCGAGAAGGCCCTCACTCACCCCGCGAATATCCCAGTAACCCAGGACCATCGACGATGACTTGGACGACATGGTGTGACTGTTTGCAAGTCTTGCAGAGCGGGAGACCGGTGCCAGGCGCAGGTCTTATACTCCCCTGGGGGGCGGGGCCAGCACCGGGGCGGGGCCAAGCAGCTCGCGCCGGCCCCGCCCCTCGGCCCCGCCCCGCTCCATCCGCGGCCCTGACCCCCTCGCGGCCACTCGGTCCTGCGCAGGCGCGACTTCTGTCCACTTTAGGGTTTGGGGCAAAGGGGGGCGGGGGCGCGGCGAAGCTCTGAGGTTCTGCCCATCCCTACTGTGGGAAACCTCACATCACCAGTAGTGGCAGTAAGCGTGACCTTGGTTCTCAGGGCTAATAAAACTCATGTGTGTCCTTCCTTCCTTCCCTCCCCTTCCCTCCCCCTTCCCTCCTCCTCCCTCCCCTCTTCCCTCCCTTCTTTCCTCCCCCCTCCCCCTTCCCTCCTCCCTTTCTTCCCTTCCTCCCTCCTTTCCTCCCTCCTTCCTTCCTCCCCTCCCTCCCTCCCTTCCTCCTTCCTTCCTTCTCTTTCTTTCCTTTCCTTGTTCTTTCGTTCTTCCTTTCTCCCTCCCTCCTTCCCTCTCTCCCTCCTTCCTTCCCTTTCTCCCTCCCTCCTTCCCTCCTTTCTTCTTCCTTCCTTCCTTCCCTTTTTCTCCTTTTGTTTGTTCTTTGGTTCCCTTCTCCCTCCCTCCCTCTCTCCCTTTCTCCCTCCCTCCCTCCTTCCCTTTCTCCCCCCCCTCCCCTACTCTCTCCTCCTCTCCTCTCCCCTGCCCTTCCCTTTTTTTTCTTGCCTGGGGGCCTCGTGGCAGTCCACAAAAGTCAGGTGGACTTGGATCACCAAGGAATGGTTATCAGTTTCTAGTTTGGGGGGAGTGGGAAAAGCTGGAAAAGGAGGACAAGGTGATTAAAAAGAAAAACTTGTCCAGTGTCAGTAGCTTAGGCTTGTAATCTTAGATACTCTGGAGGTCGAAATCTGAGGACTGCAGTTCAAAACCAACCTGGGTAGAAAATTGGTGAGACTCTCATCTCCAATTAACCACCCAAAAAGCTGGTAGTGGGGGAGTGGCTCATGTGATAGAGCACCAGCCTGTAGCCCAAACTCAAAGGGACAGTGCATAAGCCCTGGGTTTAAGCCCCAATACTGGCACACACACAGACACAAAAACATAAATTGTTTAAACACTTAAAACTAAGGTAGGAAGTGATTTGGAAGGAAGCATTATGTGAAATTTATAGAGGGGGTAGATCACTTCGGGCCAAGCAGAAGGAGGAGGTAGGCATTGAGTAAGGTCACAGGAATATGGGAAATACAAATGTGTACAGAAATAACTATACTTAAAGTTGAGTTAGGCTGGGTTTTAAGGTTGTGATGGGCTGTGAGGAGACAGTGGGAACAGCTTCTGGCCAACAGGTTGTAGAAGACCTTGACCAGCAGAAAGAAGAGTCTGGATGTTTTAACCCTGGTCTGTGGAAATTGTCTAGATCACACAGTTTAATAGAAATGTTAGACAAGCCATATGTGTGATTTAAAAATGTTTTGTTTCTAGTTAAAGGAAACAGGGATTGCTGGGTGCTGATGGCTCATGCCAGAAGGCTGAGGTCTGAGGATTGTGGTTCAAAGCCAGCACAGGCAGAAAAGTCCTTGAGACTCTTCACTCCTTTTAAGTACCAAAAAAGCAGGGAGTGAAATCAACGGAGAGGGTGAGGCCCAGAGTTCAAGCCCCAATAATGGCACACATAAACAAAATGAAACAGGTAAATTAATAATACAGCTCAATATATAAAAAATACTGTTATTTCAGCAGGTAATTAATATGAAAATTATTGAGATGGTTTCTATTGTTTGCTTTTGTATTGTCTTCAAAACACAGTGCGTATCTTACAGTTACTTACAGCACCTCTCAAGGCAAGCTCCAGGCAACTCATTGACTAGTTGGACAGGGCAGGTTGTGATGCTTTGCGGAGATGAGTTATTTTGTCAGAGTCCTCTAGTAAAATGACCCTAGTTGGTGCTGAGTGTATGGAAGGATATGGCCATGTTTTCCATTTGCTCCTTCCTCCAGCTATTCATCTATACAGCCGTGTTTATTAACATGCCTTTTAGGGGGCAGGCACTGTTTTAGGTGTTGGGAATACAGAACTGAAATCAAGACACCAAACCCCCTCACCTCAGGAAACTTACATTCTAACAAATGAGTATGTAACAAATTCATAATAATGAAACTGGAGCCTTCTCAGGTGCTTGTGTTTTCTCATTCCCCCACTTCTAATGTTATGCCACAGTATCCCAAACTGGCAGACCACATTTCTTCTCTGCTACTCTCACTTTACAGTGATCTTGAAAATGGACTTTTAGAGCCTAGACCCAAACTCCTGGGACTTCACGTTACATCTTGCCACTCCATTCTGTATTCCAAATAAAGAGACAAAGTAAAGGGCAGAGAAAGGAGGTCATGGCGTGGACTTTCCATGGAAAGATAGCGCTTCAGTTCACCTTCAGCCATCTTTTCTCAGCAGACATCTGCCTTAGTGTTTAACAGCAGGAAGAGTTGGAGGCAAGGGATGAGAGGTAGGCATAAACAAATCTGGGCCCAGGTGTGTTCCAGTAGTTATAGGTGGCAATGGTAGTCACAGGTGGTCTGGTAGCTCACTGTTCAGGATTGGACAAGTGAGACCTTGTTATCATGAATCATTGTTACCGAGCAGGTAATCTAGTTTTTCCTTGCTTCCAGGATGATTGCAAAGTGATTGTAGGAGAGAATGATGCAGAGCAGTGGACACAGTTACAAAATGGAGGCTGGGATGCCAAGCTGTTCTCCTACTTTAGCTTAAATCGTGGGCCCGAGTAAGGAGGCAGAGCTCCTCACAAAAGCGCATTTAAGAATCTGTTATAATGGAAACAAGAGTTTTGTGTTCTTTCTTTAATTTGTTGCTATTTTTGTTATCTCTTCTTTTTGTCTTGTCTTTGGGACGGTAAGGGAGGACACAGAAATGGAGGGACAAAGGGTCAACAAACGCAGCAGTGGTACTCCCTACACACTATTTTGAAAATGAACTATACAACTTTGGGGTGAGGACGAGAGGGAAAAACTGGGAGAGAGGGAGGGAAAGGATGACACTGTCCAAAAAGAAATGTACTCTTTACCTGACTTATGTAAGTGTAACCCTTCTTACATCACCTTTATAATAACAATAAAAAATTAAAAAAATAAATGCTACAATAAGTCAAAGAATTATGCACATACTATGTAGAGAAAGAAAAGAGAGATGAGCTCTAGGGAATGGTAGAGGGTGTGAGAGCTGGGCTAGGAAGGAGATTTGTGTTTTTAAAGGAGTGTGTGTGTGTGTGTGTGTGTGTGTGTGTGTGTGTGTGTGTGTGTGTCTGTCTGTCTGTCTGTCTTAGGGCTTGAGCTCTAGGGCCTGGGCGCTGCCCTTTTTTGCTCAAAGTTAGTGTTCTACCACTTGAGTCACAGCTCCACTTTGTGTGTGTGTGTGTGTGTGTGTGTGATGGACTTTCCTGCCCAAGCTGGCTTCTAACCACAATCCTTAGATCTTAGCCTCCTGAGTAACTAGGATTACAGGCCTGAGCCACAAGTGCCAGGCAGAGATGTTAACTTTTAAACAAAGGCCTGAAGCAGGTGTGGAATTCAGCCACGGTGTTACAGAGGACTCTAGAGAAATCTAGGCAGAGCAAGCAACAAGTAGAGATAATCATCACTGTGCAGACAACATTAAAAAACCAGGTGAGATTGTAAAGCATTAACTCCTTACTGGGGCCCATGAGTTAACTGAAATAATTCTGTCATCCCAACTTCAGTTTTGTATGCATGGCCTTTGTTTTAAGCTATGTATCTTGCAATCACTTCAATTCTAAGCAGCACACTGAGAACATCTTTAGGACAAGAGACAGAAGTTAAGAAGCTAAGAAACAACAGATCTGGGTAACAAATCCACTCCCCCCATGAGGACAATTATCTGTAATGACAAGGCTGCACCTTGGAGCAGGCATAGTCATATCATGGGAACCAGCTGGCTTTCCTTAAGTAGTGTGGTGATAATAACTTCTCTGTATCCTGAGAACAGGACTGAGATGATGGTTCATCAGGACCCACCAGATCAGTGCTGAGACAATGAGAATGTTGAATGGCTATGCTTCTCTCTTTCTTTTCCCCCAAGTTCTTTGTCTATTCAAAGCTGTTTGTACTCCACAGATGACTGAAGATGAACTGAAGTGCTGCTTTCCCATGGCTGCCCATGCTAAGGAATAAACCTCCTTTCTCTTTGGCAGGACCTGATGTGTGATTCTGGGGCTGGGGAAGAGGGTGCCTTAAACTCAGATTTCATTATTGCCACGGAAGTGAGGTCAACAGAGAAGAGCAGAGCTCTGCATTTAGAAGCAAATACCAATGAACAAACCAAGGTGGTCTCTATAAAAAAGTAGCCAGGGTTGTCAGAGGAAAACAGGTAGTTGGAAACTAAGTGAAGACATTAGAAGGTGGGAATGAGTGAGTCTATCAAATATGACTAAAAGATCCAGGAAGCTGAAGCCTAAGAGTTATCCACTGGATTTAGCAACATGGACACAATGGTGACCTTGATTAAACAAGCTATCTGTAGGAGTTCCCTGAAGGTCCTGGGAAGAAGCTAGCTTCTGTTTGTGCAGAGGCCATGAGAAAGGAAAATAGGCCGCAGAGTTGTAACAATGTCACTGCTGGGTGGCAGAGATAGGATTTGTGAGCTGACTAGGGAGATGGAGGAAAGAGGAGGGAGGAGGGTACCCAGCCTGTACAGCATGACCTTATGGGGCTTCTAGCCCCTTTCTCTCTAGCCTAGTAGTGGGAAATCAATTTTCCCATTAGTTCAACTGAAGTAAATCTTAAGCTTTAATTAATTACTTAATTACTTTTTGGTACAGTACTGGATCTTGAATTCAAGGCCTGGGCATTGTCCCTTAGCTTTTTTTTTTTTTTTTTTTGGTTGGTCCTAGGGCTTGAACTCTGGGCCTATGTGCTGTCCCTCAGCAATTCGGGTCAAGGATAGCACGCTACCATTTGAGCCATAGTGCCACTTATGGTTTTCTGGTGGTTAATTGGAGATAAGAGTCTCACAGACATTCCGGCCCAAGCTGGCTTTGAACCATGATCCTCAGATCTCAGCCTCCTGAGTAGCTAGGACTATGGGTGTAAGCCACCAGTGCCTGGCTTCTTGTTGTTGTTATTATTACTTTTATTATTATTGCCTTTGCCAAAGTTTGATTGCAAGGTCTCTTAAGCACTTGGCTTATTTGTTCTGCTGACACTGTATACCTCCAACTTGACTTTTTGATGGTTATTTTGGAGATAGTCTCAAGGACTTTTCTGCCTGGGCTGGCTTGGAGCCATAACACTATAGATTTCAGCCTCCTGAGTAGCTAGATGAGAGCAACCAATGCCCAGTTTGTGTTGGCTATTTGTTGAGATAGGGGTTCACTTTATGTCCTGGCTGTCCTGGCCTTCAGTCCTCCTAGTAGCCAGCCACTGGTTGAGATGAAGTCTTGTAAACGCTCTTGACTGGGCTGGCCTCAAACAGTCATGCCTTGTTTCACCTCCTAAGTAGCTTGGATTACAGGCTTGAGCCACTGTGTCCTGCTGGGAATTTATAAAAAGACACTTGGCTAAAAAACAACAAAGGGAACAAATGACAACATAGGGACACATGACCTTAAATTACCTGGGTTTTTCCTTCTAAGATAACGAAAAGCCAGTCACACATTCACTGGAGGCATGAGCATCTTTGATAGTCTAGGCAATGATTATTGCTAATTTAGCTAATTTATTCTAATATCAGCTTAACAAGTTTGTAAAGTAGGTATTTTGTCTGTTTTATATATCTAAAAGAACTGAGGCCCAGGAAAGTTGGGTGTTGCCCAAGTTTCCATGGAGAGTCTGCATTCAGAATGAGGTCTGTGTGTCCAGCCCACCTAAACGGACGATCCTGACAGCTCCTCACTTCATCTCAGTCTTTTCTGTGAAGTCTGGGGGGAATATGGCATCGAACACTATTTTTTTATCTTGTCAGTTTCCCTGGTTCTAGGGCCCTTCCAGCTCTGAGAAGTCCCCAGGTAATGAGCTACTGTGTCCTTCTTTCATTCTGAACAATCTTGCTTTTGGTTAAACTTGACCTTGTAAGTCACACCTTAAGACTCTTACTAGACTTTTTCTCTTTGATGAGAGGGAAATTTTGCTTTCCTATTCTGTGTTCCTAGCTGCAAGAGATGGTTTTTTGGAAGAATGATATAAGCAGCCCCCAAATAGGTTACTCTGTACCCCAAACAATGTTAGAGTCATGTAGAAATTTAATTAAGAGAGACTTAAAGGAACATTTTTAAATCCATAAGTATGTCAGACTTCATAAATGAAATCAATAAAAGCACAGATCCTTTTATGTGGAGATGGGAGTTCATTCCATGACAAATTTTGAGGTGAAAGTCAGCTATTTTCACCGAAAAACATTAGAAGCCACAGATGACCCAACAATCTCCCCTTAACCTTAGAGAGAACAGGAGCCCAAAGTGGAAACACTTGAATTCCCAGAGCAGAACGACTTTCCCTTTCTGGTCACGTCCCTTCTGCTCTGCCACTAATTTCCACTAGGAGGAAATTCAGCTCGCTGAACTTCAGGAGACAAAAGTCCCATTGAAAGAGGAAGTTCTCAAGTACAGCACTGTGGATCACGTGTTCTTTGCTGCCCTGAAGTTCAATACTCAGCCATGTTGGGTACCTTGACTTGACACCAAAGGATATAGGTGGTGAGCATTGCCTTGTCTGGAGTTTGTGCTCATTCCTGTAACCCTTGCTACTTTGGAGGCTGAGATCTGAGGGTTGCAGTTCAAAGCCAATCCATGCAGCAAAAAGTCCATGAAACTCTTATCTCCAATTACACACACACACACACACACACACACACACACACACACACACACACACACACCCCAGAAGTAACGCTCTGGGTCAAGTGGTAGAGTGCTGCACAAACATTTAGGGGACAGTGCCCAGATCCTGAGTTCAAGCCCCAGGATGGACATAAAATACAAAAAGGAAAAAAGGAAGAGTCAGGCAAGCTCGGACCACAGGTATCAAATGCTAACTCCAGGCTCCAGGTTGCAGCATAGATTTCCTTTCCCATTCAGACACTCTGGCCAGTGATAGAGGTAGAGTTGCTGATGTTCAAGTGCTGTGTCTTAGCCCTGCCCTGCCCTTCCTTTGGCTCCCATCAGGCCCAGAAGAAGCCGCAACAGGTTTGAAGGTGCTTTTTATTGGGGAAGAAAAGGACTGAACAGACTATTGACAAGCATGGGCATAATTGAGCCAGGCTTAGGAAAGGGATAAAATAAATAGGCAGTAACTGAGGCAGGCTCCAGCACAGTAAGAAAGGTACCATTTGCTGCAGTATCTGGACCTATTCATCTCTTTGCTGAAATGTGTGGTTTGCCATGAGCTGGGAAGCTGGAAGAGGAATTCTTGGGGCTCTAAAGAGGACCACATGCTCCATCTTGCATCTGAGAGCTCCTTAGTCTTGGAAGTGTCTGAGCTGTTGCCTAAGGACTTATCTGAAGGAAGAAAAGGATTCTGATGGAGCTGGTGCTAGCTGAGGGAGCACCAAAGCTCATACCACAAATAAGATGGTGCTTCAAGACATACCCGAGTGCAGGAAGGCAGCCCCTTGGAGAAATATCCCTTGCCAAAATACCTGCCATGCTCATTTCCACCCTGGTTGGGGCCACTGGCTTGCTCACTCCACACTCTTTCTCTCATCCTGGGGGGACCAGCCCTTCCCAATGGTAGTCAGGACCCCAGGATGCACTTACTCCCAGTGTCCTTCTGACAGCCTCCAGCCGGGACAGAATCCTTGGGGCCTCCTGTGGACACAGCATCTGCAGCTCTCCAGGTCGCATGCGAAGTAGTTGGCTTCCCATCAGGGTCCCAAGGCTCTTCACCGTGCTAGGAACAAAATCGAAGCCACCAGGAATGAGGTGGAAAGGATGCAAGGCTTGCATATTTGGGTAGAGTAAGGGCTGTTTTGGGTTTGGAGAGTGCGGTTACAGAAACATTCATGGAACTGGGTGTTCGAAAGTAAAGGAGCCAATTGGCTTTGGCCTCAACCTACTTCAGGACTCCCAGGTTTGAAGATAGAATGTGCTGAATAGCTGAACCAGGAGCTGAGATTCTAAGTTCATTACGTAGGAGCTTGATCCTTGAGGATCCCTGCAATCTTCACTCTGGCAGGGGTTCCCCACTTGATGCCCTGTCTTAGGCTTAGGCCAGCTCCCTCTTTTTTGTTCTGGCACTAGGATTTGAACTCAGGGCCTTACACTCTTGCTTAGCTTTTTTTACTCAAGGTTGGCCCTCTACCACTTGAGCCACACCTCCACTTCTGTTTTGCTGGTAAATTGGTGGTAAGAATCTCACAGACTTTTATGCCCTATTTCGTTTGTGTTTCTGCTTGATCTACAGTCCCCAGATCTCCTCCTGAGTAGCTAGGATTACAGGTGTGAGTCACCAGTGACTGGCATTAGCCCTTCTGCCTGTCTTCTGCAGCCTGGGATGGAGTTGTCATGTACAATAGGGGTGGGCTGCATGTTCTAGATCTCTGGGTGACTGTAGTTATACTGTGAGTCCTTCACAAGGCTCTCCGTCCACCGGGCTGGCCACTCACATAGTGGAGAAGTTCTCTGCTTTCAGCCAGGCTGTGACCTCCTCAGGCTTGGAGCTCATTCGAAGCATTGGAGCCTAGAATGGGAGGAGGGGCAATGAGGGCTCATGTCATCTCACAGTTCCCCACAGTGGGTCCCTTCTCTGGGCTCCCAATAAATCACTTATTTAATCCCCTGCTGTTCTGGTCTAGCAGGCATCCTGATTTGTTCCCTTCTGTGGCTCTATGATGAACTTGGTACCCTCTAAGCATGCAATAATACTGAACAATAATCAATAATCAAATAAGAACTATCCCCTTGCCAGGTGTCAGTGGCTCACATCTGTAATCCTAGCTACTCAGGAGGCTGAGATCTGAGGATCATAGTTCAAAGCCAGCTTGGGCAGGAAAAGTGTTGTGAGACTCTTCAATTAGCCACCAGAAAACCAGAAGTGGCGCTGTGGCTCAAGTGGCAGAGTACTAGCCTTGAGCTGAAGAGCTGAGGGACAGCGCCCAGGCCCAGAGTTCAAGCCCCATGACTGACAAATAAATAAAATAAAATAAAAGAACTATCCCCTCCTCTTGTCATCCTGTCTTCCTTGTCCACCCTCTCCTCCCCACTCTGACTCAGGGCTTCTAGACAGCTTAGGCTATGTAATACCCGAGGGGGTGACTGGCCCTGACTCCCAGGGACCCCCATCTGCAGGGGCTCCAGGATGTTGCTGGGGATGTAGCCACGCTGTCCAGTCTCATTCTTCACCAGCCACCACCGCTTGCTCTGGTCCAGGACCTGTCAAGAGTCACTACTTCAGTCACCTGAGGCTCTGTCCTGGAAGCAACCACCCCCCCCCCGCCCCCAAGGCTCTGACTCTCCCAACTCATTTCCCACTTCTTCCTCCTCTGTTGGCCATCCAGCCTGGCAGCCCAACTATCCAGACCACCCACTCCACACCAACTCAAGCCCTGGCCTCACCTCTAGCACCTCTCCCTGGAGCACAGTCAGTTCCTGTGGGTTCCTTGCTTCAAACTCATATAGCACCTGCATCTTCAGGATGGGCTTGGTGGGTCTGGGATGGAGGTTGACATCCCAAGGTTGAAGACCATGGCTGTTTGTCTCTTCCCGAGCAAAGTGTGAGGTGCTCTCTGACCTAGGCCTTTGATCATGAAGGAAAATCAGGATGGCTGGAGAAGGAGCCCCAGAAGTGATACCCCAGTATTAGTCCCAGTCCCAGTCCCCAAGAGCTCCTAATGCCTCCTGGCTAGAATCTGGTGGTAACTTTGAGGATCGCCCAGAATTTGATGGCAGCAGGTGGTATTTAGGGGTGGGAGACAGGAGGGCTCTGAAATAGTGTTGGTCTCTGAAGACATTTCCAGTAGAGCTCTGCTCTGAACACTTTATGACTGAGCTCTGGGAAATCTAAGGCATGTGTGGGTAGTATCTATCAGAAGGGACTGGAGCTTAGCTGGTTAAAAAAATGCTGCTTTTGTACCCAAGGAGGGGAAAAGTATCTTTGCAGATGTCTGCATCTCACTACAAGAGAGCACAGAGGATCTCTGTGATCCTGGAGACACTTCCTGCCCCTTCCTCCCACGGCCAAGCAGTTCCCAGTAAGCTCTGGCTTACCTAGAAAAGGAGTCCTGGTGTCTTAAGGGTGCCTGCTAGGAACAAAAACAGAGGGAGTGAGAGTGGGAGGCAACCACAATGGTGATAGGGAGAGAGCGATCAGATCCCAAGCCTGCACAGCTACCTCCTGTCCCATCCCTTCCTCCTCCATTTAAGCCCTTAGTCCTGTGATTGGAATTTGGAACCTGGAGGGCTCTATGCTGAGCATCCCTTACCGGAGAGGAGGGCTCTGGAGGCTGCCATCCATCATAGAATGTGGGTTGGTAAGGTGAGGGCTCAGTGCCTGTCCAGTCATCCCTGGGGAGAGAACAAAGCTGAGTCCATCGTGTCTCTGTATTGGGCTTTGGGGACATGGAAAGGGAGGGAATGTGAAGGACTAGGCCCACGGATCATCTAGTTATAATGGGGACACGGAATATGTACACAGATGAAAGGCCATAGAGTACCTATAAAGGAGAAAAGGAACAGACAGTTAAGCATGAATAAATATTACAGTGTAGGCATCTGTGGGCCCCTCTCAGCTTCATCCTTGAGCATTGATCCCCAGTAATATAGCAGATACTTTATTACCCTCACTGGAGATGACAACTAAAATGTTAGGTGCCAGAATATTGGGGCCCTGGAGATATTTTTCTAACTTGTTTTAAGTCTCTGTTTTCCAAATAAATAGCATGTGGAGCTTAGTCTCTTTTTTCTTTTCTTTTTAATTGTGTGTGTGTGTGTGTGAATGTGTGTGCGTGCGCATGTGCACACACACACACATTCACACCTGTGCCATACTGGGGTTTGAACTCAGGACCTGGATAAATATCCCTTAGCTTTTTCACTCAAGGCTGACATTCCACCATTTGAACCACACCTCTACTTCTGGCTTTTTGCTGGTTAATTGGCTCAGCCAGAGAAACTTTTATCTCCAATTGACCAGCAAAATCTCAACCTCCTGAGCAGCTAGGAATACAGGCATGAATCACCAGCACCCAGTATGATCCATTTTTCTAAGGTCTCAAATTCTTTGTACTGGTCCCGGGGCTTGAACTCAGGGACTGAACACTGTTCCTGAGTTTTTGTGCTTAATGCTAGCACTCTACCACTTGAACCACAGCTTCATTTCCAGCTTTTTTGGGGTGTTTAATTGGAGATAAGAGTCTCATGGACTTTCCTGCTTGGACTGGGTTCAAACTGTGATCCTCAGATCTCAGCCTCCTGAGTAGCTAGTATTTATGAGCCACTGGTGCCTGGCTTCAGATGAGATTTTGAGACAAAAAGAAATGATACATCGAATACACTTCTTTAATGTTCAAGTATTTGAGACTTTCTTGTTTAAGCCCATTGCAAAACTTCTGCTTTCCTTTCTTGCTAGTGCTGGACAGATGTAAGGACTTACTCCACACTGAGTTCTGGGTAGATGAACAAGAGATAGGAGGTTCAGAAACCATAAATGATTTCATTTTTTGAGTTAAAAGAGAACAACATAAAATCAGATCACACTAGGGTAAACAATTCATTGATGAATAAATGGATAAAGTGTGACACAACCACGCAATGAACATAAAAAAGAAAGAAGGACATGAGGAGTGAAATAAGCCAGTCACAAAATGACAAATAATGTTTGATTCTACTGACATCAGGTAACTAGAACAGACAAATTTATAGAGATAGTAGAATAGAGGTAACCCTGAGAGAATGATAAGGAAATAGTATTTAAGGATAACTTTCTGCTTGGAATTGTAAGAATGAGCTGGAAATACATAATGATTGTTGGCTGCACCTCATATTCACTCACCGGCTGATGGTCCAGGATGCACCCAGCCCCTTCCAGAAGTTACTTTCATTTGGGCTTAGACAGGACTGCAGCAGATTGATGGCTTTGGGAGTGAGCAGAGGTGAGACCACCTGGGCTGTCAGGCCAGGGTCAGGGCACTGCGACAGGATCTAACAGAAGGGTGGAGGCCAGATAAGGAAAGGGCCCAGCGTGTGCTCAGGGTTCCAGTGTCCATGGCTCTGATGTTAACCAACTAGCCTACTAAGGGTTCTCTGTTATATGCCAGAGATGGTCTCTTGGCCTTATAGGAGAAGGTGTTGGGTTAAGTGAGGGGCAGTCCTCACTGCTTCCCTTGACCCTCTCCTCCCTTAACACCTTTCTTTCTTTTTTTCTTGACCTGAGAAAGCCCCTTCTTGTCCTTCTTGACTTCAGCTTGTTTGTCTTTAACACTCTATTCTTCCCCTACTCACGAAGTTCAGAGTTTGGAAGATGATGTGCACGAATTCTGGGGCACTTGTGTCCTGCATCCTGATGGCCAGTTTCCCCTGGGGATGTATGAAAATGTCTGTCACCACCCTTCACCTCACAACACCTCCAACAGGGTCCCAGTGCCACATAATGGTTTGTGCTTTAGCTGGGAACCTGGCACCCTCCAAAACTTCCCAGGAGAGAAACAGGAGGAGGGAAAGGCTCGGGGTGCTGAAATTAGAGACTGGGTGGTGGGGGGGGGGGGAGACAAGGGATGAGGAATTGACAGGGACCACAGACCAAGAGGTTGAAGCTCAATTTGATCTTCTGGAAGCAGTCAATGAAATGCTCCTGTGGGATTCCTATGGGATATGGACAAAAATGGGTGTCACAGATCATCCCAAGTTACCCCTCTCCCCCCCACTTGTTTCCCTAGGTGCACAGCACTCACCACCCTGTTTCTTGCTCTTTTTTTTCCAGGCCTTCTTCTTCTTCTTGTGATTGGCTTTTCCCTGGATCTCCTTCAGCTTCCCTGAGAATAGCTCGATGTCCTTTAGGGTGTGATTGAGTATCTCCTGGACCCAAACAACCCGTGGCCTTGAGTGGGCAGATAGACTGATCGTAGACCTCTCAACCCTGTCTGCTGTCCCTTCCCCACTACCAGTCCCAGCCTTAGTCCCAGCATGGGTTCTGTTGAACAAGCCTGCCCTGGCTACCTGAGGAATCTGACTTTCTAGGGGGAGGATGTCTACAGGTTCTGACCAGCAGATTCTAGGGCAATGAATGAAGAAATATGATTAAATATGATAGCTTATATTTGATATTCTATTATTAATTAATATTTCAATACCACCACGGGGCAAGGCATGGATTAACTGGCAGACAGGGTTCAATGGAACATGTCCCCCTATCCTTTACTTTTATAAGTTCAGATTGTTGATCTGAAGCATTCTTAAAGGAGTTAAGGAAAAATAAACAAAAGGGCAAAGGTAGATAACAAGCTATCAGGAAGTACTAATGTAAGCAGTTTCATAATACATCCAGGATACCAGGGAATCACTGAGATAAGTTCATTCAGGGACTCCTACTGTCTTGACAGGATTACTGCAGAAGGTCAGCTACTGATAATTTTCTGTCTGTACTTAGATGTAGGACAAACAACCACACAACCAAGATTTTTCCACCGACAGCATTCAAACTCCAAGCTCACCAGTCCTATCTCCTGTAGCCAGCCTAGAGTCCTCTCAGGACTCTAGGGTTCCCATAATTCTCCCTTCTCCAAAGACCAGAAAGCCCAAGACATTCTCTATTACCTCATCTCTCTCAGGGTCCTCAGGGGATGGGCTCCTCCTTGGAGGGGGTGGAGTGAAGGCATTTGGTTCTTGAGTACTGTGGTAGCGTAGCAGGGGTTTTGGAGATGGTGGGAGGCCTGGAATTTAGAGGATCAAGGGCTACAGCTTCTCTGACTTTAATCTAAACCTTCTCACCTGTCCTTATGTCCGGAACTTACTGTGTTCTGGAGTCATCTGGTGGAGTTGTTCTGGTGAGGATCCCCACTCCACAGAGGGTGCCTGATCTATAGGAAAGGGCCTTTCCAGAAAAGGCCCTCTCCATCTGTTCTGGCCTGGATGATAAAGGCCTCCAAATTTAGGTTTGCTGGGGACATGGTGAGGGATACATGATCAATAAGACTCTTGGAACAAAGGCCCTGCCTACACTTCTGCTCCAGGACCCAGGGGTACCCATCACCTCTCTCCAGGAGCCTCAGTTCTGCTCCTTGGTCTCCTTCCAACTCCATCCTGACTCATTTCCCTGGTGCCCAAGTCCTCGTAGGTCCCATAACAGTGTGAAGTGACAATGTCCTGTGTCCCCTGGGCCCCACTCCTCACCCTGCTCATCTCTGCCCTAGCCCTTTTTCATTCTAGACCTTGCTTTGTTAGGCTCTTGAGCTCCTCAAGATGTGGGATCAAGGTCTTCCTTGCCAGGAGATACTTACCTTTGTTCTGTCTCTTCCTCCAGAGCTTTCTGTAGGCTTGTCTTCAATCGCTCTGCCTAAAGGAAGCAGCAGTCAGGTGTGTGTGTGTGTGTGTGTGTGTGTGTGTGTGTGTGTTTGTGTGTGTGATGGTTGTTGAACCCCATCTTTGGCCACTTACTTGCACTTCGTGGCACTGGAAAAGCAGCGTGCTGGTGCTTGGCAGGCCAGACTCTTGCACAGTGATGGACAAGATAGAGTTGTAGGAGCAGGTGTTCAGTGCCACATCTAAGGCCTTGATGTTGTCAAGTCGATAAGAGTCCAGCTCCTCCTGAACCAAGAAAAGTAGTTAACTGCTAGGCCACTGAGAGCCAAATTGGGCTCCTGGGAGCTGTATGAGATTTCCCCCACCCTCTAGTGGCCCACAGTTAGGATGTATACACTGACCCCTGTTCTTTTGTCCCTTGCCCCTGGACCCTTGAATCTTCGTAGATCTGGGTGTGCATTGTATGTGGGGAGGTATATAGGGCTTCCTGGAAAAGCCTGATGCTTGCTCTTCCACAGGCTGGGTAGGCCAGGACCTGTGGCTATGTTTGGTGGGAGGGCTGACCTTTGTCTCGATGTCCAGCAGCTGGAGCCAGCCATCCCTGACCTGCAGGATCAGGTCTTGACTCCATACTCGGCCTTGTGCTTCCATCTCCTGCAGCTTCTGCAAGGCATCCTTGGGCTCCTGGACTCTCTGTGTCCCCAGCTTACATGTCATCAGGTGCTAAGGAAAAACAGAGAGGCCACACTAGGAGGTTTGGAGGTGGTGGGGGGCAGGGGAAAGGCAGGAAGAGAAGAAAGATGTGTTCTTGGTTTATTCTAAGGAATGGGGGGATGTCCCAGGCTCCCGAAAGGGCAATAGGACCACTGAAGTCACAGCAGGCAGGCTAGGGAAAGGGCATCTGGGCCTGAGGCTTCGTTGCTGCAGGAGGGCTTCTAGGACTCAAAGGAAGGACAGGCCCAAGGCAGCTGAGTGCCGGTAGCTATGGGCTCTAGTCTCCTAACAAGCAATGTCAGAGCTTCTCTGCTGAACCCTCAGACTCTACCCTGTTTCCTTTACTGCACTTGAGATATCACCTTCCAACAGCATCCCTGTCCTTTGCTCCTATACCATATGCCTTTTCACTTCTGCCAATTCAGGCCCTGAGTTTTTCAGGAAGATCCAGCTTACCTTCTGATTCTTGCAGAGATCTGGAGTGATTTGTTTCCACTCAAGTCCTTTCCTTCCTTCTAGCCTCATCTTTTGGTGGGCTTTGTCTTTGCCCAAACTCCTCCAGTGGGCCTTTCCCCAGCCCAACTCTGCCTCTGCCACTCCCATCTTCCAAGGGGAAATGCAATCTGCCTTTTGCCCCTAGATCTGCCACTGCATATCCCTACTTGGATCCAGATCCCTCCTTGTGTTCACACTGCCTAGAGAGAAGTCTGATTTATCCTCAGTTAGCTGAGAATCCACTTCCCATCACTCATGGGGTTTCCTGCTTCATTCCAGCCTAACACCGAAGATGCCAGGTGGGAGCTTCTACCCTACACGCTATGTCCCCCACCATGTCCTCAGCACTGCATCCTCCTCCAGCCATGTCTTTGTAGCTTGCCTTTGCTTTCCTGGCAGCCCTTCAGATAACTTGATCTCAAAATGCCAGCCATCCTCTTGTGGTTCCAGCAGCTCAGCCTAGACTGGGAGCTCAGACAGACTCTCCCTTTTGCAATGATGGTCTTCTTAAGCCCTCATAAGCTACATCCCTCCCCCTCTCCTTTCTCCAGGCATGCATTGTCTCCCACAAAGAGCTAGTCCCTGGAGATGGTATGATAGGAGGTGGGCCAAGTGGGTTTAAGGTAAGGTGGCTTTAAAGTGGCCTTTTGCCTGTCCCTCTGCTTCTTTCTGTCCAAGTACTGGACTTCACTTGGTGCTGTTTAATCAACCCTGACCACACCCTCTCTGACCCTAGCACTTAGCAGATGCTCAACCAAGCTCCAGTCTTGTTGGCTCTATTTCCAAGGGATTTGGCCAGACTAAGCTATTGGCTTCCATGGCGTGGGTATGGGCAGAGCAGTGGACACATAGGAGCCCCTGGTTTTAAAATCTGCCTGGGGCCCCAGCAGTACTCACCTCCACCCTGTGCTGGAGGAGGGTGGGCTCTGAGGTCAGGTTCTGGGAGTACTCCTTCCGGTGCACTGTTGGGTATCAGCAGGACAGGAGGCAGTTGAAGAATTGGAGTGAGGCTCAGGCAATGGCTAGCACAGTCATAGGGAGGACCAGGCCAGAGGACAGGGATTTGGGAGCTCAGCTCAGTGGGGAGTTGAGCAGAGCCAAGTAGGGCAGGGAAAGGGGTAGGGGTAGGGAGAGCTTACAGTAAATGGCTCTGCTGCTGGGCCGGGACATGTTGCCACTGCTGAGGAAGCTCCCTAGAACCAAGTGAATCAGAGACAGCCATTAGAGCTGGGGAGAGGAGTACAAGGCACAACAGAGCAAACTGCTGTTCTTGCTCTGATCTGGGGTCTCTGAGATCAGACTCCTGGCTCCAGAGAGTGTTCTGTTCCAAGGAGCCCTCATCCTGACTGGGCTTAGAGACCGGGGACTACAGAAGGAAAGGCTTCGGCCACTACTGCATGGCTGGCTTCCCATTATTTGGCTCTAGGACTGGATCCTACCCCTGGACCTGGGAGTTAGAGGATGAACCTTACCCACTTCTGCAGAGAGGGCAAGGGCTTAGCAGAGTTTTCCGATACAACAAACTTGCATTTTTCAATCCAGTTTCAGTTTTCAACCTGGAAATTAGCTCCTGCTAACCTCCAAGCTAGAGACCCTCTAGAGGAGTGTGCAATGCATGTATGTGCACGTGTGTGTGACTGTGAGAGCGATCTGGACCTGCCTGAATGTCTGACTACACATCTTCTAGGATACTATATCCTTGTCCTGGTTAGGCCTTTTTCGATTACCACTCTGCCACACTATGCCTGTGCGTTCCTGTCTTGACACCTGTGTCCAGGACTCTTAAGAACCCACATGGTTCAATCTTTACCAACACCCATGTCCTTGGCCCTAAGTGCTGAGCGGTGTTCTAAGGGCTTTACCTTTGATAACTCCTTTAATCCTCAAGTCTGGGGGCCTCTAGTATCTCCTCTCACCAGTTGAGAACTCTGACACTTAAAGGGGGAGAAGACCTGGGGTCTCAAGGAATGCTTTCACCAAGAGTGAACCCAGGCCTGTCTGCCTGGCCACTCTATGTTTTAATTGATTTATAAATGTGTGCTTATTAGGCCAGAATCCAGGAGGTCTGGGATCCAAATCTTTTGAAAAGTAAGAAAATTAGATATGGTATGAGTGTGTGTGTGTATGTGTGTGTGTGTGTGTGTGTGTGTGTGTGTGAGGTGGGGTTAGTCAAGGGGGTCAAGGGTGTGTGTCATCCAGGTGAGGCATGTATGCATCATGGGTCTCCACACGTGTTTGGGGGTGCACCTGTGTAGTACAGAATCTTAGAGTATCCTGGGCAAAGTATAAGTGAGCACCCACACCTTTTTACTAGGTCTGGTATGAAAATGGGGAATCTGGGAAGCTGAGATGGGAAAATGGATAACGAGTGAAGAAGGGCGGGAGTAGGGGAGGAGGAAGTGACCAGATCTCTGTTGCCTGTTTTCCCAAGAGAAAGGGTGCTGGAAGCCTCCCTTCCCCCCTCCCCCCCCCACACTATGGCACTGGCTTCCTGCTTCTAGAAGTAGAAGAGAAAAGGGAGTCCAGTTCTACCCAGCTCCTCGCTCCTCCTTCACACCAGGTGGTCGCTGTGGGTCACGTGTGTGCCTGTGGGTGGGTAAACAGCTAAAGACCTTGGCAGCCCCCATTTGTACTCCAAATGCAGGAGCTTAACACAAGGAAGGAGTAGCTCTGTTACAGACACTGGACTACCCAACCCTCCAGCCCCTGGAGAGTCCTTCAGACCCTACCTGGGATGATCCTCCTGCCTGCATCTGGGAAGGGGCTGGGACAGGCCCTGGCCGAGGGTGCCACCAAACTGCCCCCACCTGCTGGCCCTGGGATCCCCTCTCCCTTCAAGCCCTGATCTTCCCCATGGGACAAGCTCTTACCTGGTGCCAATGCAGCTTGGTGGCTGGTCCCCTAATGGGGGGCTGGTGCTTGAGCCAGTCGTCTGGTGGCTTGGCTTGAGGCAGAGCCCTACTGGCAGCCAGATGGCCCTGGGAGAGCAGGGGACTCCGTGGTGGAGAGACTAATGGAGCCAGCCACACCTGTGCCCTTTGGACTCTGGTAGGTGGGAAGGCCTCCTAAGCCACCACCCACCCAACACTGAGTTGGAGCTGAGGAAGCGCCCTGCTTCCCAGCTTCCTCCTTCGTGGCTTTCTGGACTGGGACTAGCCCCTGGTCCCTCTGCCTTTTGGGTACTTTCTCTGGGTCCCAGGATAGCATGAGGCACTAGTGCCCTAGGCCTAGAAAGCCTGGGTTCGTAATGGAGGACAGGTCATCTAGAGGTAAACTTAAGACTTTGGGGAAGCTGTGGGTTTGTTTGTGTGCTGTAAGTTCACATGTGCTGCACCCAGGGGCACGTGATCGCGTGTCTAGGAAGTGACTGTGAACAGGGCATGGGCCTGTCAGAGAACATGGAGGCTGGCCCCAGGGTCACAGGGGCATGGAGTGGCCCGGGCTAAGGTTTCTCATGTGTGGGGTTTGTCTTGTGTTTTCTCCCACCCAGCAGGGGCTCCTCCCACCCATTCTCCACATCCGGCTCCCTCCCTACCACTTCCCTCTCCATTACCCTCACCCCTGGAGGATGCCTGGCTGCCTCCAGAAAAAAAAAAAAAAAGAGAACCTAGGCTTCCCTCTGACCCTATTTAAGAGACCCTGCACTTTTTTTCCCTTTTTCTTTTCTTTCTTTTTTTTTTTTTGGTTCGGTTGTGGGGCCTGAACTCTAGGCCTGGGCGCTGTCCCTCAGCTCTTCAGCTCAAGGCTAGCGCTTTACCACTTGAGCCACAGCACCACTTCCAGCTTTTTGTTTTTCCTGCTTATGTGGTGCTGAGGAATCAAACCCAGTACATGCAAGGCAAGCGCTCTACCACTGAGCCACCTTCCCAACCCTTTCCCATTTTCTTGTGTGTGTGTGTATGTGTATGTATATATGTGTGTATGTGTGTTGGTACTAAGATTTGACTTTTGGCCTGGGTACTGTTCCTGAGCTTTTTTTTGCTTAAGGCTAGCCTTCTACTATTTGAGCCAATACTTTTAGCTTTTTGGTGGATAATTGGCTATAAGAGTTACACCAAATTTCCTGCCTGGGCTGACTTTGAACCAAGACCCTTACCAGTTAGGATTTATAGGTCCTATACTGGAGACACAGGAACCTGTCAGACTCTGCATTTTAAAAACTTGCCTTGAGAGCCAGGCACCGGTGGTTGATGTCTATAATCCTAGCTACTCAGGAGGCTGAGATCTGAGGATCACGGTTCAAAGCCATCCCGGGCAGGAAAGTTCGTGAGACTCTTATCTCCAATAAAACCACTAGAAAACCGGAAGTGGCGCTGTGGCTCCAGTGGTAGACTGCTTGCCTTGAGCTGAAGAGCTGAAGAGTGCAGGGGCAGCGCCCAGGCCCAGAGTTCAAGCCCCATGGTCAACAACAACAACAAAAATTTTGCCTTGACACTCAGGATGGACCAGTCTCTCTACCCGCTAGAACCAAAGGAGCAAAGGGTTGGGAGGGAAGAGGTGGGGGATAGAATGAAAGAGAAGAAGCAAAACTGATCCTTGGAAAATGATCCTCTTGCCACAGAGCCCCAGGCCCAGCAGCTCTTAGGATTTGTTATGGAGTGTGCTGCCTTCAGCCTGCATTTCTATCCTCGTCCTCCCTCAGACCAGCCAGGGGATCTTGGCCTCTCCTCATTCCCCCACCCAGCAACACTGCTCTGCTGGCCTAGAGTCCAGGGATTGCCACTAGTGAGGGGCCTCCCCACCTGGGCTGGTATGGGCCTGTGGGAAAGTCTATCTAGCAGCCAGCTTCTGTGGCCCCAAATGGCAGGTGCCTGTTGGGCCTATACCTAGCCAAGACCTCATGAGAACCAGTCCTCCTCGATCTCTCTGGATGTCCTGTTCCCTAGGACTCAGAACCTTCAACCTCCTTTCAGGACAGGACAGCCTGACCTTCATTGCCTCCCCCAGTGTCAGCCCCCAAGTTCATCAAGGCCATAACCACATTCCACACACTCAGCCCCAGCTTGGGTGCCCAGCCAAGACCTCATTCCTACCCAGCTCAGGCCAGATTGTCCTTCCCACAGTCCTGTGCCCAGGGCAGTGTAGAACAGCAGGATTCTCAGAGGCGACCTGAGAGCAGAGTGGGGCTGGATCTACTTCATATCTTTGGATAGAGAAAAAGAGTAAGCCATGTGATATCCGGGACATCTTGTACTCTGCAGTGTCCTTGGGTGCTCTGAGGCCCAAGGTCCTCTGGTAGCAGCCTTGTAGTAGTGGGTTAGGGGAGGGGGCTTGGGCTTTGGGGGCTATGCAATGTGCACATCTCCCCAAGTAAGAGGAAGGATAGAAGGTTTGGAATTGAGGCTTCTGCCCAAATACACCGCCAGGTGTGCGAGTAAGCTTCACCGAGATATGAGCACTTGGAACTCAAGAGGGAGGAGGATGGAAGCAGAATCCAGAAAGAAACCTCCTGAGACTATAGAGGCTGGGTATCTCACACATCCATAGATTGATTGATTCCCTCCCTCCTTCACTCACTCAAAATTTCCTGTGGACTCCAAAGCTTTGTCTGCCAGGCATCGTGCTTACTTAGAGGGCTGACATCCCCTCAGAATGCAGCTGGAGTTCATTATCTCCCTCCAAACAACTCCAGGCCTTCCCCCACATTCCCATCTCACCCAGCTGTATGTGTCAGTGGAGAGCTGAGGTCATCCTGAGCCCTCCCTCAGCCCCCATGCCCAAACCACTACCTGCTGGCAGGTTCCACTGCTTCAGCCCATTATATTACAGCACTACCCCTTCTCTGTGACTGCCCTTCTTTGGGCCTGTTCCAACTCTCTGCCTTTGCCTATGCAGCTGTCCTTTAACCATCTTTCTGCTCTCTGCTTCCACCACCTTTCCCTTTTTTTAGAGCTGGTCCTAGGGTTTGAACTCAGGGCCTAGGCGTTATCCCTGAGTTTTTGTGCTCAACGCTTGTGCTCTACTACTTGAGCTCCACCTCATGTCTGGAGTTTTGATGTTTAATTGGAGATAAGAGTCTCATGGGTTTTTCCTGCTCAGCCTGGCTTTGAACCATGATTCGCAGATCTCAACTTCTAAGTAGCGAGTATTACATGTGTGAGCCCCCAGCCCCCAGCCTCCAGCTCACCCTTCTTCTTATTAATCCTTCTTGTTGGCTGTGGACAGAGGCTCTTTCTTGACTAGCAATTTTATC